AACGCCTCGCGAAAAACGGAGAAATTACTTTAATTAATTTGGGATCAAAAAACACTTCGATACGTCCTCCTGTTTACAACAATTTACGTTGACGAGTCGTTTCAACGAATGACATTTTGTTATCATGTTTTTTTTTCTTCTTATTACAGCTGATAGTGTAGTCTCTCGGCTCATCCGGCCGTTGAATTAATTTAGATAATTTCGGTACCACGCCCGTATTTCTGGGGAACGAATATATTGCGTAATTGTCTAGAAATCGCAATGTTATCTTTGTTCATGTCAGTCACCTATTGTCGATCTAATTTAGATCCTAATATAAAGTTATTCCTATCGAATAAAAGTTATGTCATTAAAAACTTCTTACTAGGGTCTTGTGAACACACTGAGCCACTTAGTTTTTCTATTTTGAATAGGAAATTCATATTTAAAATGACATTATATAAGCACGTATTGGAATAGTGTATGTAAATATGGCGTATGCACATAAGCCCACTCCACTAAAGATCCTTCATCCTCCAGAGTATGTTTACCTAGAATTAATTTTCCAGTTAAGTAGGTCTGACTAATTTAACCTGGATGGACAGTGCTCGGGGCCTGTGTAAAAGCTTTTTATCTCAATTAGCGTTGTGCTTACAAATTATATTTTTTGAATACTGTGTATGGACAGTAATGACATACAGCAATGAGAGGTGGTCGCTCATTAAGGGCTTTATGGGAGGGCTCAAAGTTACTCAGAGAGTTACGCGCGCCCTTGATATCAAATCAAGAATGAGGAGATTCGCAGAACAATGCTAGCCGATATAAAACGAAGGATTGCGGTGCAAAAAAGTTTTTGTGTAGGTGGTTTGGCGCCCCTCATGGTGGACCGACGACCAGCTAAAGGTCATCATCAAAATACTGAAAATCCTAAGAACTTCACTTTTTTTTTAATTTGTTCTTTGAATATGATTTGCAGATATTCAAACAGCCTAAACACCCTCTTGTAAATTCCGTTGTGTTTGTTAAGTACGCTCCGAAATCAGCTAATTTTCACGTTTTGAATTATTATAAAATAAAACAAGAAGTATTCATATTTCATTTTTATTAAAACCATTCTCTTTAAACGAAGCCTGTATAACCATCTAAGTACATCGAATTCCTAACACATATTATAGCTACTGACAACGTTACATTCTTTTTTTCGAACCGTACTTATTTAAATTGTTTTTTTTTTTTTTGCAACTCGTCAGCATTATTTAGCTGACAAGTCGATTCGCAAAAAGTTTGAGTATTAAATTAGGCTTCTCATACTTTTGTTTGAGTCGATTACATTCAAAAGTCTTTTGTGTGTTCATTTTTTGAACGTTGATTATTCCAAGTGAAATGTCCATTCAAAATGGGCCAAAGATACAAAGCTTTTTATTGGAAATTCCGTGACAATTGTTTTTAGATTAATAGAATAGTTCGTTTAGAACCTTTGAATCTAATCAACTTAAATATATATTAAGTGTATTTTCTAAAAATGCCAACCTGTATTATGAAAGTATATATATATATCGGTTCACAATACGTAATTTTTAATGTAAATAATAAATCTAGGATAAAATACATATATTTTTAAGATATGATATTTTCAAAATAAGTTAACGTTTTTTTTTTTAACGATGATCCAAACGGTATATTGATTGTTATAAATTATAGCATACAGTTTCTTCACATCACTAGTATGCTTTAGCAGGCTGCTTATTTCTATCCTGAATTAATTATGGCTTCGATTTGAAATGACGTTCTTTTAATGAAATCGATACTTCATATATTTTTGTTTTAGCGACGGAATCTAGTTAAACGCGAGCTGTGTAATTTTTTTTATCGCTTAGATGTGTGGACGAGCTCACAGCCCACTTGGTGTTAAGTGGTTATTGGAGCCCATAGACATCTACAACGTAAATGCGCCACCCACCTTGAGATACAAGTTCTAAGGTATCATTAAGGTTACAACGGCTGTTCCACCCTTCAAACCGAAACGCATTACTGCTTCAAGGCAGAAATAGGCAAGGTGGTGGTACCTACCCGTGTGGACTCAAAACACGTCCTACCAGCAGTAAAAAATGTATGAAAAGACAATGTCAGTAGCACAGCCAAGTCGCGAGCTACCATTGAGGAATCTTCTATAGCTTCGTTTGACGAAGACCATGCTATAGCGCATAGTTTTTTTTTTAAATTATTTTCACTGACAGATTAGCAATCAAATTAAACCTTATCAACGCTTATAGCATTATCCATGTCTAAAGCGATGGTCATAAACACCCTTAAGATAAGATTAAGAATAAGATTTAAATTCAAATCGTAAACAAAATCATAATTGTTATGATCCGCTATTTTAGAACAGATATATACTGTTACACCCCTAAGAATTGAGTGCTGTGAAAAGTTTCGTTAAATATTAGGTGCTAAATAAAAAATAGCGTTAAGATTTATAAAAGACGAAAATATGATTTCGTGTCCATTGCATAGACTATGAAATTTAGGTGAGGAAAGGGTGTCTAAATTGAAAAAAATAAAATTCTAATATTTTAAAATTTACTTTAAAAGTCTTCAAGATTATTTTGTAAACTAATGATATTGGATCGAGACATACATACATACGTATAGTCTTAAAAATATGGCCATGGATTAAGCATGCTAAATCCTGGCTGCTATATTTAAATAAATGTTATATGTAAATAATTTTCCTCTGCTTTTATTAGATATTTCTATGAAATTTTTGCAATAGCATAAAATTTAACAACCGATATTTATAATATAGAGATGCTACCTTGGCTTGAAACGAAATATTGTACCGTTTTTTTTTTGTGTTGAAATTAAAACTCTGGTTTTCCCAGTAATTAAGAACATGCTAGCCTTTTGAACTAGCATTGATTATGATACATTACCCATTATGAAATAAACTTTACGTCTACAGACATATGTACGACTATCATAACACTTTTAAAAATCGTAATAAAATGAAAAAATCACGCCTATTACATAATACAGTTCAATATATTTATTCAATATATTATTTATTATTCGTTACAATAATGAACTTCATTTGGCTCATCACTCAGCCGTCCTTCGCTTGGAAGACTAACATAAACTTTATTAGACTATCACCCCAGTTTAATGTAGATACATTCGTACTTAATGGATTCCGTGTGGGAAATGTAAGTCTCGAATTAAATAAAGTTAAAACGAAAAAAAGGCGCTAAAATTAAATGCTAACCGGATCAAACGTAGCTAACATCTCTCACGTTATGCAAAAGTATATATCTATCTATATATATAAAAATGAATTGCTGTTCGTTAACTCGAGAACGGCTGGACCGATTTGGCTGATTTTGGCCTTGAATTATTTGTGGAAGTCCAGAGAAGATTTAAAAGGTAAATAAATATGAAATGGAAAAAGGAATGAAATAAAAATAACAATTTTGTTTTTCCTTTGATGTGTCCGTCGTCGGACGGATTCCTTTTGTTTGTTTTAAGTTAATTTTATACAAAAGCTTAGGTCTTTTATTTATCGATTGAGGCACTACGAAGTCTGCCGGGTCAGCTAGTAAATAAATAAACATCACAATATGTTTCTGTGACATTTATAATTATTTTTTTTAATTTAGATTGTGGCATATTAAAAGTAGTTTAAGAAGCTACAATACTTGTTATAATTGAAATTCAACATAAAACAACGCGCTTCGAATATCAATTTTAATGCTTATGAAACTTTTACCTGCAATTTTTACAAAGATTTTTGACAACTACTACAAACAAAAGTACAACTACAACAAAAGTAAAGCGTTGTAGCTATTTCGCGTGCTATTTTTTATTTGTTCGCTTAGAATTTTTTATTACAATGCTGTTTTTTATTCATTCAACCGGTTCAAATTGATGCGACCCTTTTGTTGATTCCCATTGATCATTAGGTGAGCATGATTTTTTTTATGTTTTTGTTTTAGCTAAATCTAAACACGGTTGGAAAAAGATATTAAAATTCAACCGTTGCCCAGATTATTGATAATGTAAACGAATTGCTAAAAGCTTATCGATCGAAAGCATCGTTATAATATTACAAGCCCTTATGAAGACTCCCATAGACATTGTTTTTTTGGTACAATTTTTCCTTATTAGGAAAGGCAAGGTGATCTAAGCCCATACAGCCTTACTCTCATAGACACACTGAGTTTGATTCGACGCTATAAAGGTGATTTTTGCAAAAACCAATGATGAATTTTGATGAACATTTCCATCCATTATTACCGATGTATCTACATTCTAGAAGGTCGACTTAAACACATACATTTCACTACGGCATGCACAATTACACATGTGTATACGTACGACATCTATTTCTTTTTGTTTTTTATTTTTTTATTTTTTCTCATTCAATAATACGAAAAATACACAACCGAATGTCGTTAATTATTTATTTATGAAAGTTTTAAAATCATTGTTACCGCCTTACTTAGGAGTGGGTGCTATTTAAAAGGATGTCATTATATAAAAAAAAACAACGCTTATTTCCGTGCTTATTATTTTCGTTAAATAATTTCGCACGCTACGAATATTTAACGTTTTTTTTTTGGTCATCACCCTCAGTAGTTTTATTAATGTCTAAAACTCAAGAATAAAACCTGTAAGCGTTGTTTTCCTTTTGTTTCATTGTACCGTCGTGAGTTTTTTTTAAACATTTGTAAGTACACAGATTGTGAAGACCGAAAAGGGAATAAGTAAGTAGAGTAACCCTTATGAAGTGATGAAATAAAATTAGTCCATTGACAAACATAATAATAGCTATCTAGTGTGGTACATTTTTCGGTAAAACATGATTTCATATAGAAGGGGGCAGTAAAACCCTGCTTCCGGCATTTTACATATACATATTATATTTTTTATTATGAATCAATAAATCAACTTCGCGGACTTTAATGACATACATTAATCAATTAATAGCAACATATTTTTTGCATATTTTTTTGGAGTTGTACTTCTTGTGGCGCCTTTGAGAGAACAGGTAACAATTTGTATGAGCGTGTGACGAAATTGCCCGCGCTACGTAGCACATAACATAAACCAATTATTATTTATCTATAATTAATTTATATATTTCTTATATAATTCATTCTATGGGGTTTGTTGACTTCATACATAATTCAACTATGCCAAAGAAGTACAACTTCTTACATGCGTAAATCAGTACACATTTTTTTTTAAATCGATCTAATGTTTCTACAACCCTTTTACAATGAATGTCCATGAAAATATTACTGTGAATATTGCTATAATCAAACTAACACTGTTACATTGTTGCCACGAAGCGACACTGTAGAACTTGTTTTCACTCTTCACCACATATTATTTAAAACAAAAATAAAGATAACGTATCCTTTTATTAATCATTTTGAAGATAAAATTAATCATTTTAATTGCGGAATAAAACACGTTCTGTCGAAATATTTGAAGGTACGTATACACTGCCGCCAAGCTATCTACGTAACGCAACGGCGTACAGCAGCACCGCCAACGAACTGCTAGTCGCGTCGTTATAACGTTATAACGTTTAATTATAACGCTTAACACTTTTATATTAGAGTTTCTTTCCCCCCGTATTTGTACAGATCGTTGTACGTCAACTGGCGTCGGGGGAGATCTCTGGGCGGTTTAACTGCATACTAGTTTTTCGAAGTCAATATTGTCACGAACTCTGTTGAATTAAAATAACGGATGATTAGCAAGTTACTTTCGGTTACTTTAGTACTTTTGAAGGGCGCTCTGAGGGATTATTCGAGAATTCTTTTTTTTTTTTTTATTGTTTAGATGGGTGGACGAGCTCACAGCCCACCTGGTGTTAAGTGGTTACTGGAGCCCATAGACATCTACAACGTAAATGCGCCACCCACCTAAGAGATATAAGTTCTAAGGTCTCAAGTATAGTTACAACGGCTGCTCCACCCTTCAAACTGAAACGCATTACTGCTTCACGGCAGAAATAGGCAGGACGGTGGTACCTACCCGCGCGGACTCACAAGAGGTCCTACCACCAGTAAAAAAAATTCACCAGTAATAAATTCTTTTGTATCACATCTGCTATGTACAGGATCAGAGTTTTTATTTTTATTGCTTAGATGGGTAGACGAGCTCACAGCCCATGGACATCAACAGCGTAAATGCCGTCACCACCTTGACACACGAGTCTTAAAGTCTCAAGTTGTACAGTTGCCCCGCTCTTCATACCGAAATGCTTCACTACTTTACGGCAGAAACAGGCAGGGTGGTGTTACCTACCCGTGCGGACTCACAAGACGTCCTACCATAAGTAACTACGTATATTATAAATTCCAGACATATTTCCTGCCACGAGCGATCTGAGTCTGAAATAAGCTTCTCTCCTCGCTGTTTGCTGTTACTCTGGCCTTGCTAGCATCTATGGGCAACGACAACCACTCATCACGAAGTATAAGCCGTTGAGTCTTTAACGATTTCGACTCGAAATCTCTTTGTCGCAGCAACTTAAAGCAATTCTTATTCCAAGAACTAAATCCTCATCACCATCATCATCATCATCAGCCCAAAGTCGTCCACTGCTGGACATAGACCTCTCCCAATCCACACCTCCTAAACATGAAAATTCTCATCACCTTAAATCGATTTTTAATGTTATTCCTCAAGTGTTAAATCCGCTATAAGTCATTACCGTCGTAGTTGACCATGCCGTCGCCATCGAGATCAGCCTCGCGGATCATATCGTCGACCTCTTCTTCGCTGAGCCGCTCCCCCAAGTTGGTCATCACGTGGCGGAGCTCCACAGAAGAAATCAGCCCGTCATTATTCTTATCGAATACCCTGGAACCGGAATGTCATTATATAGTGATGACTTCATTTTATTTATTTATTGCTTAGATGGGTGGACGAGCTCACAGCCCACATAGAGTTGTTGAGTGGTTACTGGAGCCCATAGACATTTACAACGCAAATGCGCCACCCACCTTGAGATATAAGTTCTAAGGTCTCAAGTATAGTTACAACGGCTGCCCCACCCTTCGAACCGAAACGTTTTACTGCTTCACGGCAGAAATAGGCAGGGTGGTGGCACCTGTCCGTGCGGACTTATAATAGGCCCTACCACCAGTTTAGGTAAACAATATAAATAAAATAAATAGGGAGATACGACCTATTTTAGATAATTCGGGTGTTGGAAGTGAACGACTAGGTAACAATTATGTTCCAGCAATTGTGTTCGAGTGAACTATACAGTTTAAGTTACGTCTGGTACTATTGTTCTGCCGATATGAGTAGCGTCACACATAGACAGCCCACTGGGTTTCTCAGTGGGTCGCGGTTGCGATCCGGTGTTAGATTCAGCGAAGCACTGCTCTTGCTAGGGACAGCCAACAATTCTCTCAGGTTGCGCCCATGAGCTCACCCACCGTTCTATGCGTAGTTGGGATAGCCCCCTAGGTTCCCAGAAATTAGGTAGGGGGAAAGTAACGCCATCTGTCGTCAGATAGCAAAAACAAATGTCGAAACAACTAGAATATTCTTGAATATTCCAGTTGTATCGAGATTATTCGGATGTCCTCCGAGGATGCTCTCGAGATAGGCAAGTCGATTGCGAATGTTCTGGAAAATTTGTAGACACAGTTGAAAAGACTATAAAAGCGCAACTGGACGACAGGAAGACAGTTCTATACGAAACGAAGTGAGAAAGAAAATTGTTAAAGCAAAAGCTACCTTAATTGTCGTAATAATTGAATTAACTTTTAATTGGTATTTCGATGAAAAGTTATTATTATTCGCCTAGTTATAGTCGTCGTGGCCTAAAGGATAAGACGTCCGATGCATTCGTTTGAGCGATGCACCCTGCCTATTTCTGCCGTGAAGCAGTAATGCGTTTCGGTTTGAAGGGTGGGGCGGCCGTTGCAACTATACTTGAGACCTTAGAACTTATATCTCAAGGTGGGTGGCGCATTTAAGTTGTAGATGTCTATGGGCTCCAGTAACCATTTAACACCAGGAGGGCTGTGTGAGCTCGTCCACCCATCTAAGCAATAAATAAAAAAAAGATGCACATCTCGTGTAAATATTAACATTACTCCATTCAAGACCAACCTAAATTACATTTTTGTTTCTAACCAACTATGACTTGGGCAGTATATCGACTATATCAAAGAAATATCCTTCACCTGAAAGCCTCCCTAAGCTCGTCTTCTCCATCAGCTCCGCGCATCTTCTTGGACATCATCTGGAGGAACTCATTGAACTCGATTGTGCCGTTCCCATCTTGATCCACCTCCTTAACCATATCTCGTAGTTCCGTCTCTGAAGTGTCACCACGTAAATAAAATTACAAACAAAAAAACACGTGTGGCACTCGGGGACTGCCGCAGTAAAGCTATTGCACAGCATTTTTTTATCAACTTATGCAATTATAATTAGACAATAATAATTTAATATTAAAACAACAATAAAATAAGACCACGCTCTATTTATAAACATTAACAAAAGGAAAACATTAACTGTCCCCTTCACACGCATAATTTAGACCGCGCGAGAGAGAGATGGGCAGACTTTTCATGATGCGCATGCAGTGCGACGTCACGCCGCGCGTTTATTCACAAACACTACACAAGCGCAACGTGTGCATGTGTTGAACGCGAGCTACATGGTAGGCGGAGTGGGGGAGTCAGGTATTATTTTCGTTACAGAATTTATTGATTCGGTCGCCGCGCTCAAAGCCCGCGATAAAAGCTATGCAGTAGTTTAAAATATCAAGTAGTCGTGGCCTGCGAATGTCGGTGTTCAAATCCGGCTGCCGATTTTTTTTCACGTTAATTTTAGACCGAATTCTGTGTTCATTTAGTATTCTGTGTATATTCTAGTGTTATATACCGATGTTTACTAAATGATGAGTGTGCTATCGCAACGCAGATAGCCCTGCTCACCTTGAGACATGAGATCTAAACTCAATTGTACTGTACAACGTTTGTCCTACCCATGAAACTGGAACAATTACTGCCCTGTGTGCTTAGTCCGAGTTTTTTAACGTTCTCGATAGCGTAAAGTTAACTCAAATTTGTGTGAAGTTGGAACAGCGCCCCTAGCGGCAAACTTATGCAAACGTTCCAACTCCATACAAATTTCAGTTAGCTTTCACGTTATAGAGAGCGTTAAAAATTCCCCCAAGTTAGATACGGTGGTGGTACTTACTGATAATTCAAGGCACGCCCTAACCACCAGTAATTACGAAAATATTGATGTTTTTGTTTTTTGTATTTTTAGATGCAGCAATTAATATATTTGGCGTGTGGACGTAGAAATGTCTTGTCGTTTCCGCGCGCATCGTAATGCAAGTGACGACATAAAAGTTAAATGTGTTCAAAACTATCAAACGCTACAACGACCGCTTTGACATTTCAAATCAAAATAATAAGTTGAAATAGTGACGGTTTAAAAATTTTAATAAAACCCATATTTTTTTTTAAAGATCAAACTATTACTTGAACGTTATTAATGTCTTTACGATTTAAATCTAAGGTATCATAACGGGAACATTGGGGAGCATTTGTTGGTTATAAAAAAATAGCTTGAAAGGGTAACGAAATATTTTGTTATGACTTGTTTTACTTTTTTGTATGAAGTACTATAAAATTTCAATAGTGTTGCCGTTGGCGCCGTGGCTTAGTTGGTTAAAGCGCCTGTCTAGTAAACAGGAGATCGCGAGTTCGAATCTCGCCGGGGCCTTCTGTCGGTTTGATGTCCTATAATTTTTTTATAATTGTTACTAATTACATATATTTAAATTTGTACATGAAAATTTTCTATTTTTGTTTTGTTATTTTGAGCCGTATGACTTTTCTATCTAGTCTTCGCCCCATAATCGAAAATCGAAGCCCTAAGTTTTTATATTCATTTTACGTATTACATTGCATCTGTTGTATAATTCTCGACATTATGAAAGAAAAAAATGTTTTTTATTCAGCCCTGTCAGCTCTGCAATGGCTACTAAAAAAGAAAAGAAAATCGGACCATAAATAAAATAGAATATTTACATTTTTTTTTTTATTGCCTTTGTAGGCAGACGAGCATACGGTCCACCTGATGGTGAGTGGTTACCGTCGCCCATGGACTTCAGCAATGCCAGGGGCAGAGCCAAGCCGCTGCCTACCAAAAATACATAATATGTGTACACGACGTGCAGTATTTACGTACATAAATTTACAATAGTAAATAATGAAAATCAACTAGGTACATAAAATGTCTTCGTGGATTCGTATATAACGACTTAGTAGATACTAAAAACCTTATTTCTGATTTAATTACTTAATTTTTAATTAGATAAAAAAATCGGTATAGCGAGTGCTGTTCTGTTTAAGCTTCGTGAATGAGAAACATAAGCGTAAGCTTATAAGCTCTATATCCTGCTTACCCGAAGGTCTCTGCCCGAGAGAGCGCATCACGACGCCAAGCTCCGCCATCGTTATTGTTCCGTCTTCATCTTTGTCGAACAGCATGAAAGCTTCCTTGAACTCTGAAAGCACATTGAAATGAGCTTTAATTATTTTAAACTACAAAGATTCCTTATCTCATGTAATTACGAAAATGCATGGGAGGCAGCCCTAGAAGGATCAATAGATGAATGACCAAAAGCAATATTTTTTCATAGTACGTAAACCAAGGGAGGACCAATTCATGACGCACGGATGTTAGGAGGTCACTGAAGTCTTTACATGTGACAGTTTGTAAGCAGTTACCATATTTAATAAATCTTAGTCAGAGACGGATTATCCGTAAGGCAAACTAGGCACGTGCCTAGGGGCGTGTAGTTACAAGGGGCGCGCGAGCTCAGAATTTTTTAATAAATAAAGAAAATAACATATCTACGATTTCTTCACAGTTATAACGTCATATTTCATACGCGCATTAGAGTAAGTACAAGGGTCGTGGTCTACTAAAGTCTGCAAAAACAACTAGTTAAAATTTATAGTATTATTATGACCATTTATGGCCAGTACAGGGGCGCCGATGGAGCAGACGTGTTCTGGACTGGAGACTGCGTACCGGTAAGCGCAGCGTTGGGCGTCCCCCTGCCCGTTGGACCGATGACTTGCGGCGATATGCTGGGAGAGATTGGATGCGGAAAGCGAAGGATCGTTCATTGTGGCGGACTATGGGAGAGGCCTACATCCAGCAGTGGAGAGATACAGGCTGATGATGATGATGACAGGGGCGCCGATAAAGTAATTGCCTAGGGCGCTCTGGACCTTTAATCCGCCACTGATCTTAGTTTGAAGCTTTAATCTTATGGAAAAATAATAATAATGCTTACCCGCCACTTGCTCCTCCGTGAGCCCGTACTCAGACTGAAAGTATATTAAAGGTTTGATTTACATATGATAAACAAAAATCTAAAAGAGGCGAGATTAATCGGTTGGAGATCCTGGTTATAGTTTTGAAGTCACCGTGGCCTAAAGGATAAGACGTCCGGTGTATTCGTATCTAGCGATGCACCGGTGTTCGAATCCCGCAGGCGAGTACAAATTTTTCTAATGAAATACGTACTTAACAAACGTTCACGATTGACTTCCACGGTTCCAAAAACTTGCGTGATTACTAATGGTAGGGCATCTTGTAAGTCCATATGAGTAGATACCACTAAACTATTAATCTCTGCTGTGAAGCAGTAATGCTTTTCGGTACGAAGGATAGGGCAACTGTTATACTATAATAACTGAGACAAACTTTTTTATTGCCCTTGTAGGCAGACGAGTATACTGCCCACCTGGTGGTGAGTGGTTACCGTCGCCCACGGACTTCAGCAATGCCAGGGGCACAGCCAAACCGCTGCCTACTGTTGAGTACTCGTTTGAAGAAGGACATGACTTAGAACTAATGCCTTAAGGCGCCATTAACGTTGTTGATGTCTATGGCCTCCGGTTAGCTCGTCCACCAATTTTAGTAATAAACAAAAAAAAAAGTTTCACTAAACAAAAAGCAATGATCATCTTGATCCCCAGTCTACAGCCGTCCACCGCTGGACATAGGGCTCCCCAAGAATCGCCACTATAACCATTCCTTCGACCTGTAACAGATCGTCGGTCCACCTCGCGAGAGGCTTACCCACTGCGTAACAAGGAACAACCTACTTAAAAACAACTAATCAATATTCCATTGCAGAAATCAATGCTAAATGTTCAACGAAAAATGCTTAAGTAGGTTGCCTTACATAAAACATAAAGTTTATGCGCAGTCTTAGATATAACTTTATGTTTTATGTAATAATGTATACATAAAACAGTGAGAAAATGTCAAAAAATAAACAATGTCGTATATGCAATTCCTCATGATTGATACCACTAGACTTTCTGATTCGAGTTAATATTAAAAAACTTGTACTAAGTAAAATGTCTTTTGTCTTCCACTGCTGTCTTTTAGCCAACATCAAAAAAGGAGGAAGTTCTCAACTCGACTGTATTTTTTTTTGTTTGTTACCTCATAACTTTTGACTGGGTGAATCGATTTTGATGGTTCTTTTTTTATTAGAAAGCTGACGATTCCCGTGTGGTCCAATTTAGTCCAGTTCTGACAATGGTATCCATGAGAAAACCATATAAGTCTTAAATTCGCATTAAGTACGTGTGCGACAAATAAATGAATAACTCAAAAACTCAATATCGCGACAACCGATTTCGATGATTATTGTTTTTAGTGTATAGATTAATTTGTTTTGGAATAAAAAAGTTTTCTATTTGAGGTCAGTTTTTGTTAAAGCATGTCTATTTACAATTATTAATTATTAATAATTCGGAATCCATATTAATTAATGAAACCGATTTAAATATTTCCTTTAACAGAATCTCGAAGAGAAATCGATTACATTATTTAAAGTGTAAACAACTCTTGTATCTATGGGTGGCACGTCACATTGGGCACGTACCCAATGTTTTCTATTTTCTGAATATAATCTATACGGTATGTAGGTAACATCATGAAATAAACTCCTTAAATAAAATAAAAACATAGTAAAAGCATAATGATATAGCATTCAGAACGCACCGAAACTTGTCGTATAGCGAAGTCGGTCGTGAGCCGTCTCAGCCTTCTGTATTCTTTACTGTACACGTCATCGGAGCCAGACGCTTTAGCCATATTAATATTAAACCTTTATCCAATATAAAAAGTAGAACAACAAAACACAAATCCACTCGAAACTTTTATCAATAAAAAAGTTTACCCGATCCCGTCTCAGCAAGTTTTACAAGAGAACCTTTCCGAGCGTTGAGTCAAATTAAAAGTTCCTTCTTGATAGTTTTGGTTAGAAAAAAAAAAAACAAAAACAATTTCAAACAAACTGATTTTAGTTACAGCTAAAAAAACTCTCTTTCATAGATAGCAAGCGAACTATGTAGTTCAGCTTATGCTGGTGATATCTGAATATTGTACTACTTTAAAGAAATTATTGCCTTTAGTAAATGTGCAAATTATTTTGTTACTAAGACCTTTTGTTGTTGACCCACGGTTGGTGAAAATCACGTTGATAGATTTTGTTACATAGATAGATTCAAGCCAAGCTAATGGAAACGCGTTAAAAACAAAAACTTTGTACAAACAAACAAACAAAAAGGTTTTGTAAAATAATGTCACTTTTCCCGCCAACGACTTCGGAAACGAACGACTTTTTTAAAATTTGAATTTACGTATCGCCGTGGCGCATAGCCTTGAAATAATCAGCCAGTTTTTATCACCGTCACAATATCATCTATTTATGTCACTTGTTAAAATAAATACACTTTATTAATAGCGTAATCTTCGAGAACGCAAAAGAGGCACGGGGCGCGTTTTTTTTTTAATTATTTTCATAAGAAATTATCGAACTGGCCGGTGACATGCGCGACGCGTCATTGTCAGCTCGGATTATTAGTGGAAGTTCTATATTTAAATAATTCTGCGTGCTAGCTATATGTACCGAGATCACTCAATAATGTGAAACGTGGCCAATAGAAAATTCGAGAGAATAAATTTAAAAAATATTTAATTTTATCTATTTGTTTCGTGAATTCGTTAACATATTTCACCTAATGGCCATGTAACAATTACTCTACATTTATACATATTATCAGTCTACAAAGTCAATTTGAATTTTATTTAGTTAGTATTTTGAATTATTAAATTCTAGATTCTGTTTTAACAAAATAATGTGAAGTTTTAAAACTATGGTAGTATAAGTAGTAACGTTTGCTGTAATCCCAAGTAGGGATATTACAACCCCGCATAATTCTTCGCATATTTCGGTTTTAAAGCTGTCTGGTAGAACAGAACCAATGCGATTGACACTTCAATCTTCAATTATAGTTTGGCTACGTCTAGAACTTAGTTAATTATCATTATGAAACTTTATTGTATAAATGAAGCGGCAATTTATTATGTACAACATCGAATAATTGTAAACTTGGCACGCTTGACGGAAATTATCAGATATTTGGCGGGAAAATTCAAATGTCAAATCACACTTATCGATATCTTCTCAAACGATGTTAGATTCAAAATATTGTATCTCACTAGAGATTGTTTTTTGTTTTATTCAGTTGGACTTGTGCCAAATTTTCAATGGTTGTAAACATGTGTTCACTATTGAAATTAAAATAGTGTTGTGAAAACTGGTAGCGACATCTAAAAATTTTTTGTAAAATTAAAAATTATATAATTTTATAAGCTACGGATAGATGGCTCTGTGGTAGAAAATTAGTAATTTGTAAACTGAAAATATCCAATATTAGTACATAATAACATGTATTTACCGGCCATTTTGCTCGCGTTTGTATAGGAAAAAAAAAACTCCTGGGAATAGTAGTTTCTAAAGCATATGACGGGAATAATATTAGATGAAAAGTACCTTTTGAAGCTTTTAGTACGCGTCTACGTGGATGCAAAAATTTCATTACGAATCGGTTAATTAAAAGAAGATGTTATATCGTAACAAGTGAATAAATAAACTCACTTTCTTACAATAACGGTATGGATTTCAAAGGGCGTTTTTCAGTGACGCTAAAAATAATAAGATCTTCAATGTTTTCCGTAATAATTGCGTAGGTAGGTAATATTATTATACGGCTTTGTAAGTTCCGCAGTTAGTATTCCAGTAATTAATCCCATGTTGGGGTCTTAGATTATTTAGACTTTTCTATTTTATACTACTTAATAAAATATGTTTCTTTATTTAGTTAGTAAGTTAGTTAGTTCCACTAATAAAGAACCACAATGTAAAACACAAAAGTCGCGTCCGCCATCTGCTTGTGCATAAAAGTATGTAATAAAATTACACTTGTTTGTTGTTGTTGTTGTTGTAAGTTGTTGAAATATTCCCGAAGTATCAACAACAAGTGTACCGAACGAAATAAAATAATAATTATTTTTTTATTTCCATAAATGCCATTAAAATAAACCGTAATCTTAAATCACACAATTATACATGTCATGACGTACCAATAAAAAAAAAACTTCAGAGGTGTCAAGGGACACCCGGATGGAACGAAGTTCCTTTCGATTAATTAGTGAAGGAATTGTAATTTTTTTTTTAAGTTATAATAATAAATTACGGCATTATGAAGAAGAAAAAAACAATACTATGAACTAAATTACTATTGTTGAAACGCTATCTCGAGAAACTGTACTCATTACGCGGACCAATCGGATNAATTACTATTGTTGAAACGCTATCTCGAGAAACTGTACTCATTACGCGGACCAATCGGATACGAGCAATGTCACGCGATAAGCGCCTACACGTTGATTGGTCAGAATGACGGATCTAAAAAGTGTCGTGACAACTTTTCGTAAGAATTTTTTCCGTCTAGCCCCCTTTCACAATGCGCGATAAGGAACTTCGTTCCAAACGTTAGGTAATGTATTTCACGAAAATTTCTATAGCCTACGAGGATAATACTCGATTGTATGAAAATGTACAAAATAGACTTGTTATTTTTTTATTGCTTAGATGGGTGGACGAGCTCACAGCCCACCTGTTGTTAAGTGGTTACTGGAGCCCATAGACATCTACAATGTAAATGCGCTACCCACCTTGAGACATAAGTTCAAAGAGCTCAGTATAGTTACAACGGCTGCCCTACCCATCAAACCGAAACGCATTACTGCTTAACGGCAGAAATAGGCAGGGCGCTGGTACCTACCCGCGCGGACTCACAAGAAGTCCTACCACCAGTAATTACGTAAGTTATAATTTTGCGGGTTTCACTTTTATTATTCCTTCACCGTGGAAGTCAATCGTGAACATTTGTTGAGTACGTAATTCATTAGAAAAATTAGTACCCGCCTGGGATTCGAACACAGGTGCATCGCTCAACACGAATGTACCTACCGGACGTCTTATCTCTTAGGCCACGACGACTTCATTTAATTCGTTTGTTTTTGTTTTGTGCGTACACTAAGTCCAAGAAAGTCAAAATGCCAATAACCGAGGCTATAAAGACCGCCGAGGACAGTAAGACGTGGGAAAGCATTGTGCATCGAGTGGTCCACATTTCAGATTAGACCCGACCTTCAGCAACGAAGAGACCGACTCAGAAGAAATCCAAGAACATCAATTGATTCTCTATAAGCCAACCCAATCGCAACTCCTCATTAGGAACAGTCAGCCACACAATGCTGACTGCAGATCATCAGCTCAATTCGAAGATTTACCACATTCGCATATCTCAACGATTCCAAGACAGTGGATCGCGATTCCGATCTGATGGTAGATTCTGCGAAGCACTGCTCTTGCTAGGGATGGGGTTGGCAATTTCTCTCAAGTTGAGCCCGTAAGCTCACCTACCCGTCAGGGCATAGCTGCAATAGCCTCCTAGGCTGCCAGCGAATAGGTATGTTAAGAAAAATAAAATCCGAGACGAATATAACATTCGATTATAAATAACGATTGAAATGCGGAAAGACCTTGTAACCCTGAAAACAGTATTTAACGATTTAAATGAAGCTAAAGGCTTAACAAGAAAGAAAAAAACACGACTCTCGCCTACTATAATTCTGTCAACTATATCTTATAGTATACCTGTCCAATGGCCGCTATGAATAGTTTTATGAGGCACGTTAACGAGTTTTACTGCCGCTCCTCAAAAACAGCATGATTAATACATTTTATTATTTTAACTGTCTGAAGTTTATTGCAAGATACATACATAGCATACTTTATCTGGATTCACTTGTTAAAGTAAGGATGAATTGCTTTTCTAAAATATGTTTTATTATGTCGAAACATAAGACCCACAATGTAAACACTAATATTGTCATAACAAGGTAACTGTCTACAAAACTTGCATATGTTCCGTCATGACCTATACAAGTGTAGTGTTTGCTCACTTTCACTTTTCAGGTCACTTTTCAGGTCATCCAATCCCTTTTCTGCAGGAACGTCGTCGGAGCATTGTGGTATGTGTGGAATGTAGATCTTCACGATGATCTAAATGTAGTACCAATACGTAAGTATCTTAATGGCGTGTCAGAACGCTACTTCGACAAAGCGGCGCGACACGAAAACCCTGTCATCGTAGCTGCCGCTAATTACTTATTCGACCACAACGAGGCAACGCAAACCGCCGTCGCCTGAAACATTTCTTGTCGGATTCCCCGGTTTCACTCTCGGTGCTTTTAGGCCTCTTAAGCACCAGTCACAATCAGGAGCGAACTAACCCTTAGACACAGCCCACTGAGTTTCTCGCCGAATTTTTTCAGTGGGTCGATCCGGCGGTAGACTGTGCGAAGCACTGCTCTTGCTAGGGCTAGTGTTAACAAATTCTCTCAGGTTGAGCCCGTGTGGTCACCTATCCGCTCGGACGTAGCTGAAACAGCCCCTTAGGCTAACAGCGCATAGATAGGGATAATTAATATAGAATATTAATTATCCCTATCTATGCGCTGGTACTTGATAACGTCTTGTTTGGTTTGTATAGTGACGTAGCAGTTGACAAGGTGTGAGGAAGAGAGAACAACCCGCTATCCCTCTCGAACGCATTCCGTTGGCTGTGCAGAAGAATCTTCTAGTTTCGGTTTACCGTTTCAATTATTATTATTATTCTGTGACCCCCGATTTGAAGTGTCACTTGATTTCAAATAGAATTTCATTTTGCGCAATGCTGAATAGATTCTGTAAAGTATCGCAGTTTTGGTAAGTTGACTAAATGCAGGGGAGAAGTTTAAGCAATGGCTTCGATTGACTCGGCAGTCTGCCAGTGACACATCTCATTCCTGGGATCTCGTAGGGGATTCGGATTCCGGACTTACATGAAAAAAATAGCAGAAATAATCACGGAATAAAAACGGTTATGCCCCTCCATGCAATTTGTATTCCTCTCTCTCTCTTTTTCTATTATATAATTCCTATTGTATATGTGTTTGTATCATGATTTGAGCAAACGAGTATTCTGCGTGAGCCAATAATTTCAACATTTAATTTGGCAATATCTAATGTTCATCTGGTCTAAAAATCACTATCTTAGCATATTTCTTAACAAAAAAATATATTAAGGACTAGCTGTACCCGTCCACTTTGCTGGGCATTTAAAATTAACATTATTATTTCTTCCCCCCCCTCCAAAGATTCTCATCATTAACGCCCCCCCAACTGGTACAGGGAGTCCAACACTCATATAGATATTAGCCTATCCATTAAGTACATGTATTTTCTACATGGATACCATCTTTCAAGTCAATCGGATGTATGGTTCAGTTGTTATAACGGAAAATTCGTAGCAACCACTGTAGATTTATGTATTAGTATAGATACGTTGATACTCATAAAAAGCAGGGGCTCACAAAACTCACCAGCACGAACCCCGTATCTCCGGGCATTATTTTATTGATACATTCACCCAAATAACCCTTAGAGGTAAAGATCGATACACATGAAATAAGAAGCCAAAACGCATGTAAGTGTTGCAATAAAGAAAAAATATCAGAGTACCGTCGTATCCGCTTAAGTGGCTAAAGTAAGTGGGCCGGTCATAAAACAGAAAGGCTCCATTGGGAAGCAAACTTGTCAAGATTCCGTCTTCCTCTTACAAGATAACATCCCTATTTGCTATATTCTTCTGTACCGAATGAGGAAGCCGTGCCGAATGTGAATTGTTCATCGAGATATTGGATCATCGAGTGATATTAAAAGGATTTTGTTTTTACTCTGTTCTTGTTTTATTCTCCAAGGATATCTTCATGACCAGTTTCGGAGTAAACAAAGACTTATTACATGTAAATAAGAGTTTTATTTTGAGTATTATGTATTATTATTAGGCAGCGGCTTGGCTCTGCCCCTGGCATTGCTGACGTCCATGGGCGACGGTAACCACTCACCATCAGGTGGGCCGTATGCTCGTCTACCTACAAGGGCAATAAAAAAAGGAAGGAACTATGATTATTTATATAAAACTTATATTTTATGTACTTTAAGTATGTTTTTGTTGGTATTGGGTTGTCAACTTGATAATCAATGTACGATATGTAGTAGGTATTGTCTTTCTGATTAATTAGATAAAAATAAAACTATTTTTACCGTTTAATTTATCATTTTTTATTGTCATTATATTATTACTCTGGTAATTGAAGAAAATATTATTTTGTTCATTAGTAATAAAGGCTTAACGAAATATACTTGTTTGAGACGACTCGCGTTCCAACTATTGGGCATTTTGAAACCACTGGATAAGCTTTAACGTAAGTGCGAGGAAGAGCTTCACAAAGCTTCAATTGACTCATAGAAGACTAACAGACAGACGAGTGTCGATACACTAATAGTTACTTCTTACTGATGGTGGAGCCTCTTGTGAGTCCGCACGGGTAGGTACCACCGCCCTGCCTGTTACTACCGTGAAGCAGTAATGCGTTTCGGTTTGAAGGATGACGTAGCCGTTGTAACTATACTGAGATCTTAGAACTTATATCTCAAGGTGGGTGGCGCATTTCGTTGTAGATGTCTGTAGTTGGGCTCCAGTAACCACTTAGCATCAGGTGGGCTGTGAGCTCGTCCACCCATCTAAGCAATAAAAAAAAAAGTTTACTTACCAAATTGATGGTCACGATCAGTTCATACTGCTGATGTTTGTGGCCTTTCTTCTTCTTACCCTGGGGAGTCTTGACGCCAGCAGCCGCCGCCGCCTGCTTCGGGGGAGCGGTTTTGGCTGATCCCTTCTGCGCTGAAGGCTTAACCGGGGTTTTGGGACCACCTTTCGTTGACGCCCCTGTAATGTTGAAATTGAATTTGTTATTTTCTTATCTTAATTAGCAAACCCTGACCTCACTTAGGGCCGCTAGCAAACTTCAAGAGCTCACGAGGCTAATCTGAAGGTTTTCTGATTTTTTGAAATCGAAATCGATACAGCTTCAGTTTATAAGGAACAAGTTTATAAGAACAGCTTTTAAGGAATCACCCAGGCGGGTACCAATTATTCTAATGAAATACGCACTCAATAAAATATATTCACGATTGACTTCCACGGTGAAGGAGTAACATCGTGTAATAAAAATCGAAACCCGCAAATATTATAATTTGCGTAATTACTGGTGGTAGGACCTCTTGTGAGTCCGCGCGGGTAGGTACCACCGCCCTGCCTATTTCTGCCGTGAAGCAGTAATGCGTTTCGGTCTGAAGGGTAGGGCAGCCGTTGTAACTATACTGAGATCTTAGAATCTCAAGATGGGTGGCGCATTTACTTTGTAGATGTCTATGAGCTCCAGTAACCACTTAACACCAGGTGGGCTGTAAGCTAGTCCACCAATCTAAGCAATAAAAAAAATGTATTTTTTTTATTGCTTGGATGGGATAATACATACATACATATGTACATACACGCATCGACTTCTTAGAGTTTTAAGAAAACTATTCCCTTGTTATTGATTTGCAAACTACGACATCGGCAGAAGACGGAAAAGACATCTCTTTTACTGCATTGATGGGCAAACTCGCGGTTCTCCTGCCGGTAATTGGCTACCATTGGCTCATTCGCGCTAATAGCATCACCAGGTACACAGTCAAGGTGCTAAAGTTCATCATCAGAACAGATCTATAGAATCTGAATACTGGATCATTTCTGGAAACTTTCCTCTTAACTAGAGATTGATTTTAAATTTAGATTGTAAATCCGCTTGCATTGCTCCGGCGAGCCTGATTCCAACGTGGAGCTGTGATGCGTTGAGTATGACTCATGAAGGGTGAGGCACCCGATGTATTGTAAAAGCTGAGACTTAGAATTAATGTATCAAGGTGGACAGCAGTTTTGCCTGCGTTGCGTACACACTCCAGTGACCTCTTAAAAAAATCAAGTGAAACGTCAATTTGTTTACAGGTATGGGCAATAATAAAAAAAATGTGTATAAATCTAACGCAGAAGCTGTAATAAGTAATTATTTATCAGGTTCCTTATCGAAATCCTAATAAAATAAATATTCATAATATTTTGTATTTTTTTTTGAGGAATTCTGAAAATCACTGACCCTTTTGACAGGGCGGGGTCGCCTTCTGCCCAGCAGCATTCTTCTGATTGACATGACCGCCGCCGTCAGCTGGTTTGTTTCGAGCCTGCGGGAGAACAAGAAAAAAATTAAAGTTATCTAGTAATGTTAACCAAAGCTATCGCACAAACGTCCAAAACCCACGCGAGCAGGTACTATCAGACACATTTCTATCGCAAACCATTAGTACGTTTGTAGAGTCCTTTTTTGTTGTCTAGATTGATGAACGAGGTTTTAGAAGAAGAGGTAGACCTAAGAAAAAAATGAATGGATAGCGTGAAAGACGATATATGTAAGAGGGGGGTGAGTGAAGAAATGGTATATGATAGAGGAGTATGGAAGGAGAAAACATGTTGCGCTGACCCAAGGTGACTGGGAGAAGGGCAGGAGAATGATGATAATGCTAGATGAGCGAAGGCCAACCGAAGATTAAGTGGCTGACGGCGGCCATAGACATCGCAAAATGCCGCCACCCACCTTGAAACTTACTGTACAAAAGTTGTCCCACTCTTTAAATTTAAACGCACGACTACTTCGCGAAAGAAATAGGCAGGTTGAAGATACCCATGTCAGGGTTACAATGCGTCCTACAACCAGCTCATGGAAAGATCCAAATCTTCTTGTTCACGTTACAAAAAATTAAATATTGCCAGCAATGGTGAACTCAGTACATTTTTAAGGTTTCCTTTTTCTCGACCAGGAAAACCTTGCCAATCAAGATGGCTACTTCAAATTAATTTAAAATAATTTATAAGTATTGAAATTTTTAGTCCATTAAAAATTACTTTCGACATATTGAATTAAATGTTTGTGACTAAGATTAGACTCAAAATAAATAATTTATTCATGTTCAATCGACTACATTAAAATACGGAGACCAGATTGTTAAAGGTTTTAGACATAACCATATAAAACATGTAACAAAAAGTATAGAGTATTCGAAAAGCTAGAAATCTTAAAGTTTATCTATATCTATACTAATATATAAATCTACAGTGGTTTTTACGGATGTTCCGTTATAACTACTGAACCATGCATCCGATTGACTTGAAACTTCGTATCCATGTAGAAAATACATGTAATTAATGGATAAGCTAATACTTATATGAGTGTTGGACTCCCTACACCAGTTGCGGGGGCGTTAATGATGAGAATCTTTGTGGGGGTGAAAAATAATAATGTTAATTTTAAATGCCCAGCGAAGCGGACGGGTACAGCTAGTATTTTATATTACAACGAAGTATTCACTTCGACTGCATGTTTCAAAATGAGACCGTGTTGAGATTCCCATGTTGTCCATTACCACCGATAATCATAAGTCATAACTAGCTCATTTGATATAAGCAAAAAAGTCATTTGGAAAATTAATTTTATTTTATCCACTACATCAGCCCATTTCCGCACATAATTCGACAAAATTATAGTTATGATAATAACACTACATTTTCCTCTTTCTCCGTGTAATAAATATACTTAGCATAATATTTTTGCTTAGTTTTGGGGAAAATATTATTCTACCGGCCACCCTGTTCAAAGAAGTTGATTAGCGTAAAAACAGTTGGCTTTATGCCACGTATCTAAATTCCTAACTTTATTTGATGCCGTTGAGGATTTAAAAGTTTCTCAAATGTGATTTCGAGGATTGAGCTCATGACTCATGACCCTCATAGTGCGAAGTGGTCCATGAGGTCCGTTACCATCGTATTGTTAACGCAACCACCTATTACTGGTGGTAGGACCTCTTGTGAGTCCGCGCGGGTGGGTACCACCACCCCGCCTATTTCTGCCGTGAAGCAGTAATGTGTTACGGTTTGAAGGGTGGGGCAGCCGTTGTAACTATACTGAGATCTTAGAAGGTGGGTGGCGCATTTACGTTGAGGATGTCTATAGGCTCCATTAACCACTTAACACCAGGTGGGCTGTGAGCTCGTCCAAGAGATCCAAGCAATAAAAAATAAAAAATAAAAAACGAACTGATTAAAATCTCGTATATCATGACACTCTTTGATATATGACATCCGTTACGCGGCGAAACATTATAATTATTCAAAGGCGCTATTAAATTGAATTATCTGCTTCAAATACGAATCTCGACGCACTATGGCTTTATAAATTGTTTAAATAATTAAGTACGTATTAATCATGATAGTTTTTCTGAGTTATTTATTTCTTGTAATTCTAATTGAAAAAAAAAAAAACTCCCCACCTGATGGTGAATGATTACTGTCACTCTTCTAATTTACGACAAAAAGAGTTACAGTGCGTTGTAACCTCACATGCACTAGGCCGTAGACCTCGCGCGACACCTGTCCTGTGATAGTGATACATTGCGTGTACTACTAAAATAATTTTGTATTGCCTTAAAGTCGTCGTGGCCTAAAGGATAAGACGTCCGGTGCATTCGTATCGAGCGATGCACCGGTGTTCGAATCCCGCTGGCGGGTACAAATTTTTCTAATGAAATACGTACTCAGCAAATGTTTCACGATTGACTTCCACGGTGAAGGAATAACATCGTGCAATAACAATCAAACCCGCAAAATTATAATTTACGTAATTACTGGAGGTAGGACCTCTTGTGAGTCCGCACGGGTAGGTACCACCGCCCCGCCTATTTCTGCCGTGAAGCAATAATGCGTTTCGGTTTGAAGGGCAGGGCAGCCGTTGTAACTATACTTGAGACCTTAGAACTTATATCTCAAGGTGGGTGGCGCATTTACGTTGTAGATGTCTATGGGCTCCAGTAACCACATAACACCAGGTGGGCTGTGAGCTGGTCCACCCATCTAAGCAATAAAAAAAAATGTAATGTACGCGTTTAAAATCAAAGCGTCACCGCCATGTTATTTCGGATCTTTTTCTTTAAAGTTTTAGCTTCATGGTGACGGGAATCACTAGTGTTGCATAGTATCTTCCTCTGCAGAACGACTCCCTTACAAAAAAATGGTTTATAAGAAAATGAATTTCATGATGATGTAAATGAGGTACGTACGTAATTCTTTACAGCGATTAGAAAATAAAATCAAAGAAAAAAACATTTTAAATTTTACAAAATTATATCTTTAATGGCGTGAAATATAAATTTATCGATAACCATTTAGTTTGAGAAACGACGCTTATACGTCCCAAGAGGCTCCAGAAGTATCCATTACTTTGTCAAATGTCTTTTAAATTTGACAAATACGTCATAAGTGACAGATTGATTGTTATGAATAAAAGCGTAGATCGCTGCGATGATAAAATTAAATGTTATTATTTTAATATTACACAGTGCAAAACTGATTTTAAAAAAAATCTATCTTAGAACTTTTCAATTATTTTTTTCAATTCTAAACTAAGACCATCTCTACGGTTTTTCTAATAAAGATTTGTCATGAGAAATAACTTATCAGGTTTATGTTTGTTTAAATGTTATGTGTTGGTTATCGCAACACTTTGCAATAGCTAAGCCGAGTTAGTTTTTTTTTTTAAGTTTTACTTCTCTTGGCCCTTTTATCTTTTGGAAAAGCAGATGGAACTTTCACCGTGTGACGTGCACACGATGTGACAGATAATATATTTCATTGTTATAGTCATAAAGTCATTAAATTACTTCCGATGTTTTGGTTACAATTTTCTTGGTCACAGACGTCTTATTCGTCGGTATTGTTAGGAACATTATATTTATTAAAGTAATTTAAATAAACGAGCTAAAACATTATTGAACTTGTAAATAAGTTGCTCAACTAACGCTACACTATAGTCATGAAGCCGTTAGGATAATTTTATTAAAATTGCAGTACTATAAACAGACGTAAAATTAATAACAAAGTCTATCTAAGTATGATTAAAATATATTTATTAAGAGCCAATCCTCATGCCCATCATATAAGTAAATATTATTATTAAAGTAGTCAGACTATGAAGTTGTAGAATAATTCATGATTTAAACAATAGTTTCATGATTATAATAAACTTGTATTGGTCTTAGCGTGATGTTATATAGCCTATCTATAGCCTTCCTCGATAAATGGACTATCTAACATTGAAAGAATTTTTCAAATCGGACCAGTAGTTCCTGAGATTAGCGCGTTCAAACAAACAAACTCTTCAGATTTATAATATTAGTATTAATAATAATTGACAAAAATAATTATATCTAGAACTATTATCGATCGAAGATTACTTGAATTGTGCTTTCAAGCACAGATAGCCACTGCTAGTACTGAAGCTGTACAGTTGAATATATAATATGAAAATCACCGATGGCTAATTTAAACGCAAACGGCTTTAGTTCAAAGATAAATCAAACATATAAACCAGTTATTTGAAACAAAGTCCAGCTTATGAAAACAGTATACGTCACACGATCCACCATAACGTTAAATAGGCCATAAGCCCGTACCAGTAAATCTAAACTTTGTTTCCAAACGTCAAAGATAAGGACAGATGATATTATTTTAATCATTTGTAAAAAGTTTTATCTGTTCCCTCAAATTACCTAAGTTATTTTAAATAGGAGGTATTAATCAAAAAGAAAAAACGAGGCGCCATTGGTCAAAGCGCCAAAGGTCTTTGTTACCAGGTCATAAAATTCATTAAAAAAGGCACCATTTTATACGTACCAATATTATGTTTCTCTTGATAAGTTCTGCAGATTTTTATACATTGATCATTGTCGAGTTTTCATTATTGTTTTTATTTAGATATCCTTTCATCCGAAATCAAACCACATTATAATATCGTAGAGGTTTCTACGAAAAAGGCAGTAATCGGCATCTTCACAGCCGGCATAGCCTTGCAAACGAACACAAACAGACGCTCGTTATTTTGTGACAAAAAAAATGTATCAGCCAAACCCGCACGTGAAGATTGTACGTTTTTATAAAGAGTTAGAATCTAGTTTAATTTTTGGTGTCATTAACGGCGTGTAATTGTCTGGGCGCCAGACCGAACCTGCAGGAAACGAACTATAATGTTTCCATATATATAAAAATGAACTGCTGTTCGTTAGTCTCGCTAAAACTTGAGAACGGCTGGACCGATTTGGCTAATTTTGGTCTTGAATTGTTTGTGGAAGTCCAGAGA